TCTTTAAATATCTGCCAGAGAAATTCCTATTGCTACATAGTATCTTCAGTCATCTTCTAGGAGAAATTCTCCTTTTTATCAGTCATTTAAAAAGTTTTTACTCTTCTAGCCTTTTTAATTCTTTTTTTTTTTCTTTTGGTACCAGGGATCGAACTCTCAGGACCTTGGCTTGCAAGGCAGGCAGTGGAACCACTGAGCTAAATCCCTGGCCCTCCTTTTTAATTCTTTCAAACAAACTTTGTAATTGTTTTGTTAATACCCTTCATCTCCATAAACTTATTGTAACTTTGAATGGAATTGTATTAAGACTGTAATTTGGGAAGAATTTTTATTTTTAAGGTTAAAAAACTTTTTGTCTTTCTGGAAATATATCTCAAATATTTAATGTTTCTCAATGAAGTTTTCTTGCTCTTGTCATGTAGGTCCCACACATTCTTTGCAAACGTTATTCCTTAGCAACTTGTGTGGTTTTTCTTTTCTTTTTCTATTGTGAATGTAATCTTTTTTCTTACTATGTGTGTCTTCTCACTGGTTGATGCTGGAGTATTATGGTATTGGTTTTGGTTTCCTTATTTTATAACCTGCTAGTTTATGGAAATATCACTAATTTAATACTTTTCCAGTTGATTTTCTTCTCTTTCTTTCCTTTGTGGTTCTGGGTGTGGAACTACAACACGCTCTTCCACCCGAGACTCACCCTACATCCCCATGTTTTTTTCTAACACGCAGCTTCCCAATAAATACTTGTTAAAAAATGCCGGATGGCCGTCACCTACAAATAGTGATGCCTCTCTCATCTTTTGTTCCCTGTAGTTATACCTCTCATTTTCACTTTTTGTTTTTGTGTGAGTCAGAAGGTCCAAAGCAATGCTAAATACAGTGGACCCTCAAGTTACGACCAGCCTGACATAGAACTACTTGGGTTAATTAGGTTAATGGAAGATTCATCTGCCCCTTGTTATCTTTAGTGAGTACCCAGGTAAACATCCAGATCTCAGCTGTATTGACTAGTTACAACTGGCCCTTGGGAACTGATTGCGTTCGAAAGTCAAGGGTCCACTGTGTATAAGAAATGTTATTTAAAAGAATTGATTGCTTAGTTTTGGGTTAAAAACCACATTTTAATGTCATTTTTAACATTAGCTTAACAAAAATGATTTTAAAAAACCTTAATTACACTATCCAACTTATTTTGCCTTGATTAGTGATTACATACCACCCTGCAGTATCTTAGGCTACTGAAGGCAATAGGAAGAGAGTCTTAGCCCATCTGTGTATTTCATGCACTGTACACTAACTTTTGAAGATATCAATAATGCACAAATTGTCTTTGAGAGTCATAGTCATATAGTGCTTTTTGGAGTTTAGCTTTAGTCATGAATTTAACTTTTAATTAATAAAAAATTGAGACATCCGAAACAAAGAACAGTCTTACAAATCATCATGTATTTTTTGCTCAGCTTTAATAACCATCACCTTTAGCCATACTGTTCCATCATGAATTTGACTGACCAATATGGCTAAAAGCTAAATTCATTGCTAATTTTCCAAACTATCAGAGAGGTGCATGGTGCAGAGCTACACACATAACTAAATAAAACAATTTTTTACATCTTTATCAGTACATTTTAGTTAGCTAATGAAAGAAGTCCATGCTGTTTGTATCAATCTTAGGTGATACAGAAGGGTGTGAAGTTGCATGAGCCCTAGTCCGACCCCTGATGGGAAGCAGCCATCCACTGGATGCCTCCTTGGGGGTCCCTCGACATGTGAGTAACTGGTTGTGTTGAGGCCCCTCATCTGCTGGTGGGAGTTTGGTGGTCCTTATAGCTTTTCTTCTGAGTCCTGCTTGGTGCTTCTGAGTCCTGCTACTTCCTGTATCCCCAGGCCAACTTGGGAAAGTCAGCTTAGTCTCCCCAGAAAATATACCTAGCCATGTGAGAGTTGATTTTTAATTTTAAGAAGACAAAGTCTAATCTATATAAGGATAAAAACACTCTCCCTCTTGAGCTTGTGGGTTCTTTTTCATTCTTGTTTTTTGTTTGTTTTTGTTGTTTTGGTTTTTTTTTTTTTGCTCTGAGAAGTTGGAGCAAGTGGATTCTGATAGGGTTATAAAACACATACAGCTTTTTGAAAAAAATGGCGGGAGGTAAATCTAGAACCACTAAGAATGCTTGTTTTTCCTTTTATACTCACAATGGGAGTATCATAGGAAAAAGATAAGGGAACCATTCATTTCCATTGCCTTTACTACTGAAGTAATCAGCTCTTTCCTAAGCAGAGTTATCCACTACCCCATCCATTATTTTATAACTTACTGTTTAAAAAGGTACAGTCCTTTACTGGATACTTGATCTAGGTCAAAGGTCAATGCAAGGAATATAGGATTTATGAGAGCTACAGTTTACTTATATAATGGAGTTGAGTGTATTCTAACAGGGAAACTTTCCAAGATTTTACAATCTGCTTCTCCCTGGAGTTCTGTCAGCTGCAAAAGGATATAATTATGGTCACTGCTGGGTGTGTGCAGTTGTTGCCATTGTGGTTCACATGATTAGCAATTAGCTCTTAGATTTAGTGGTACTAGAATGCCAGCCAGGCTTTTGTGGTTATTCACATGTGAGTGAAAGGATTAAAAAGTTGTTATTTATTGAGAAAAAGAGCCCTGTCTTAGTCCAATTTTCTGTTGCTATAACAATGTCCCTGGGCAATTCATACAGGAAAAGTGTTTATTTTGGCTCATGATTCTGGGGGCTGCGAAGTCCAAGAGTGTGGCACCAGCAACTGCCTGGCTCCTGGGGATTTGTGCTGCTGTAACTCATGGAGGAAAGTGGAAGGGCAAGCAGGTATGTGTGAAGGAGAGGAGGGGCCAGAGTGGGCCAGAGGTTTTGTAACAACCCGCTGCCATGGTAACTAATCCACTCTTGTGGGAACTAATCCACTTGTGGTGGAGCCCCATGAATCACATACCTCTAAAAGTCCCCTCCACCTCTCAACACCGTGACCTTGGCAACTAAATTTCAACACGAGTTTTGCTGAGGACAAACCAGCCCAAACCATAGCTAGGCTCTATATGGGGAGTTGGTCAGATGCTCTCATATATTGCTGGTGGAAATGCAAACTGTTATAACCATTTTGGAGGGAAATTTGGCAATATCTAACAAACTAGTTTGAAAGCTGGTTTATCTGACCCCCTGTATTAGAAAACTTTCAGACTTTGCATTCAGCCTGAGTCAACATATTCACAATATCCAGAGGTAGAGGAAAAGGAGTATTTGTAACTATTAGAATCTTAAATTATATTAAATATATTCCTCTTAATTTAGTTATTTTCTTAAAACACTTACGTGGAGTTAATGCCAACCAAGAGTTGGCTTGGAGGATTGCTAAACAGAGTACAACTACACTGGGAAAAGATTGGATGGGTTCTTGGTTTTTTGTTTTGGTACTGGGGATTGAATTTGGGACCTTGCGCTTGCGAGGCAGGTGGCAGAACCACTGAGCTACATCCCTGGCCCAGGGCAGATTCTTATAAATTGAATATACACCTGCCATGTGACTGCAGTACCACTTCTAGGTATTTATCCAAGAGAAAGGAAGCCATATGGCCACACGAAGGACTTTATATGAATGTTCATAGCAATTTTATTCACAAAAAACCTGGCTCTCCATTAGCAGGAGAAGGAACATAATGTTGTTATTCATGTGATGGGTTATAACTCAGCAGTATAAATCAATGAACTACTGATACAACATGGGTGAAACTCCAAAGCTGCCAGACACAAAAGAGCACACACTGTATGACTCTTCTGTGAAAATTTTGAATAGGCAGAACTAGTCTCTTGAAAGAAATAATGGGCTTGTAGAAATTAGAGAGAGAAATTAGTGGTAGAGTGCTTGAGTAACGTGTATGAGGCCCTGGGTTCAGTCCTCAGTATTAAAAAATAATCACAATAGTGCTTGCCTTGGAATTAGGATCCAGGGTTGGCTGGGGAGGGTCATGAAGACGCATTCATTATGGGGTGATGGAAATATTGCGTATCTTGACAGTGGAGTGGTTACGTGCAGTGTCTTTTTGTCTAAACTCATTGAAATGTATATTTAAGATACAAATATTTCAATGTATGAGGTGTCTTAAAAGTGTATAGTTATATTTAAATTTAAAAATTTTATTACACTAAAAGACATATTGCCATTGATCTCCCTCAAAATAGTCTCCCTTACTTACAACACACTTATTTCATCATTCTTGCCACTTTCTAAAGCAGTTCTGGAAGTCCTCTTTCAGGAATGTATTTTAAAGTGTATATATATATATATATATATATATATATATATTTTTTTTTTTTTTTTTTGAATGTTGCTGCCAGGTGCTACCTAACAACAAGGCAGACTTATAAAAACATTACAGTGTGTTCTCATCCACCTTAATTGCTAGAAGCTTCTGGCTCTTCCCCCAAAGTCAACATGACCAGAAAAGGTAAATATTTTGAATTGATTCAGGACACCTAGGCAGCCACAACAGTGTAACTAAACACTCACAAAGGAAGAATTCCAGAACTGCTTCAAGAAGTAGCAAGAATGTTTTTATTAATGTGTCTGAAAGTAGAGGGGTCATGTTGAGGGGGATTAATTATAATGTGTCTTTTACTTTAAATCATTTAAAAAATTAAACATTAACCATATTTTTGATCACACCACATCTCTATTTTAATCTATTTCCTAAAATAAAATTAAAAACATTTAGTAAAATTTTTCCATTTCCCTTTAGTCAATTGCAAACCTTACTGTGAAATTTTAGCTTGAATAATACAAAGAAAGATTGGATATTTTTATGCAAAGGGTCCTTATCACTTGCTTACTGGCTATTTCACATTGTGCCCTTTCTTTAAATCTTGGAGCACAACATTAATAACCAATAAAATTAAGCATGAAGAACCAAAATAAAGTGTATTAGGAAAAAGCAGCCTCTGTCTGAGTATAGGCAAAGAACAGTCTTCATTTGGGAACCATTATGTTCTTAGATCTGGTCCTCGGGAATAGCTACGAGACACTCTAGTCCCAGCTCAGGACTGGAACCTTTGCCATGTGCTGTGTTAACGTCTGCTGCCGCCTCCTTGGTGAGGTCTGTGGGTGCAGTGTTAAGTTCTGGATTTTGTTCCTTGGTAGCATGGAGAGGTTGGAAGAAAAGGAGGATGGGATTTTGACACAGAAAAAGATTTTTTTAAAGAGCATCCCTATTATTTTACTTTTAATACCTGATGGCCTGATGTCTCATGATGGGATACCTCTAAAAAGAAATACTTGTTACTGGCTCTTAATAGTTTACTATCTATCAACAACCTCATCCCCAGTTTCCCTTTTGTTTCCAAACAAGGAAGTCTGATAATCTACAGGGCTGCAATCCCATGTACTCACTGAGCCTGTCAGCTCTCCATAATGAAATGACCTTGGCTGAACTTCATTCAGAGGGTTTAGCCAGGAGAGAGGATTAAATGTACTAAGAGCGCAGTTCCTGGAGAGGAATGGAGAGTGAGCCAGGTGGCCTGGAATTCCATGGCTTCTCGATGCAAAAGTGTGAGCAGCCTGACGCCAGATACTCGCCTTACACCTTGGTGCGGATAACGGAGGCAGAGATGAGGGCGTATTACCGTTTCCTAGGGAGCTGCATCACGCTGGAATATAGGGCCAAAAAAGGTACCTGGCGTGCAATGATGCTTTTGGGTCTGTGTGTGTTTTGTTATTTACCCTCATTCTTAGAGTAGTGATTTAACAAAGACATTTTATATTAAGCATTTTTACTTTGTGATTGTTTCTTGTTAGGAAGTTTAAAAAGGATTTTTAAAAGCAAAACCTTAATAAGCTATTATAATATCATAAAGGCTCGTTTGCTGAGATAGATTCATAATGAGATGATCAAATATTCTGAAAAATCAGGTTAAAAATAGAATGTGGAGGTATGAGCTTACTTTTAAAGGATAGATATTGTGTACATGCATACACATCCATATCTATCTTATATATAGTATATATGTATATATAGAGGGGGGAATTATACTGCAATGAGATAACTGGCTCATTTTGGATAAAGGAATAAATTTTACTTCTCTTGTTTTTGTTCAGTTATGTTTTATTTTAAAAAAGAACTGGCATACCTTGCTTTTATAAAATGAAAATAAGAATCCAGATTATAGAATTGATGCTCCTGAAGGCTTCGTGTCAGGCACCTGAGCCGGTGGACCGCTGGTCCTGGTCTGAGCGCGCCCCTGCAGGGGTTGCTGAGAGCCTGTCATTTCTCAGTGCGCCTCCCGAGTGTTTGGAAAACAGAGGCTCTAAGAGCTGAAGCGAGTGTTTGCACCTAAGACTGTTTCTTTTATGGAAAGGCTTATTGCTAAGCTCCTACTTTTTTCTTTGCCTTGAAACTATTTACAGTAGTATTCCCCTTAAATCACAGGCTAGAAAAGCAATGATTGAAGTAAATGTCTGTCTTTCCCATTCCTCTTGGAACCTGTTTCTTCAAAAGTAGTAAGTTATTAAATGGAGAAATGTGTTTCTAAAATAAAAACATCATTGTTGCAGTATACTTTCTGACTGAGAGGATTCGTGCCCGTACTATATTCTGTACCATATCCTTGTGCAATAAATAATACAGTGTATTCTCAAAGGAGAGGGCCGTGGCATATTTGCTACTTAGGAAAGGACAAGTTGTAAATCAGATTTTGCTTTCCGTACTTAAAATATACACATGTTCAAATGTAGATAAGCAGAAATTCATATGGAACTTGAATTCAGGTATAGATTGCTGCCCTCATTTTACTAAAGTTAAATAGTAATAAGAGCTCTACAGCTTTGTTACCAGTTAGGAGAGGAGAAATAATGTGAAAGGATAAGAACTTCTGGACCCTAAGCTCACAGCATTACCTGTACTGTTGCCTTCCTCCAAGAAGGTTGTGGCATGTTTGTCTGTTGGCTTTGGCTCTCAATTACTCTATCTGTGACTCAAGATAACAATGAAAAGTTGAACTTTTCTCTTTTTTTGGTACTGGGGATTGAACTCAGGACCTTGCACTTGTAAGGCAGACGGCGGCAATACTGAGCTAAATAACCGGCAAAAAGTTAAACATTTTCATGTAACTTTTTGAAAATGTCTAAACGACCTTTCTGACTTCTCTCTGACATTCTCAGGATGCTCTCAGTAGACTTCTTTGAATAATACCAGTTCCTTGGGATTAAGGGAATGAAACTGTGATGTGTGTTGCTAAGAACCGTATTTATGTAATTGTTGGAGGCCAAGCGAGTGAGCAGTTGGAGGTTTGCTTTTTCATTAACTGTCCCCTTTTTAAAGAAAAAAAATACAGAAAATATTATAAAATGAATGCGTACTTATAAGTTAGGGTAACACTAGCTGCTGTAACAAAGATACAGATTTCACTGGACTAATGTGCACCAGTGCACTGTCCTTGATCAGAGGGACCATGTTTCAGGGACCTCAGTGTTCCAGGGACCCTGACTGCTCCTTGTCTTCAGGTTCTGCCATGCCCTAGCCTTGAAGTTCTCACCTTGTAGCCTGGAAGAAGAAAAGAGAATAGTAAAGGCACACCTGTTTCTTAAATACCCCAGCTCAGGACTCACACATCATTTTTGCCCACCTCCTCTTGGCAATAATGGGAAGGCCACCCTGGGTGTGGGTAGCACCAACCAATAGGCTAGGAGCCTGAATGGAATAAAAAGGGAAAGGAAGGCTCACTGCCTCCTGCCTGCTGAACCATGAGCTGTTTCTCTTCTGCCACGCCCCTCTGCCATGGTGTCCTGCCTTGGAACCAGCTGATTATGGACTGAAACCTCTACAAACTGTGAGCTAAAATAAACCTTTCTTCCTTTGATTTCTGGGTGTTGGGTATTTTGTCCCAGTCATGAGAAAGTAATTAAGAAGTATATATACACCTATTTGATTTTATCTCATGGCTCTGTAGTATTCCATTGTATGACTGTATATTAGTCACTTTTTCTGTCACTGACACCTATAATATACCTGACACCTATAACAAAGGAAGAGACCAAAAAAAATTTGTGTACTCTTGGGCCAGGGATTTAGCTCAGTGGTTTTACCACCTGCCTCACAAGTACAAGGTCCCAAGTTTGATCCCCGGTACCAAAAAAAACCCAAAAAAACAAAAAACAAAGGAAGAGAGGCTTTATTTAGGCTCACAGTTTCCAGTTGGTTCACTCTATGCTTGGCTTGCTCTAAGGCAGAAATGGCATGGTGGAAGGATGTGACAGAGGACAGCTACTCAACCCTTGGCAGCCAGGAACAGAGAGGGAGGAGAGGAGCCAAGGACAAGAATACACTCTTGCAAGTCAAGTTTTCCGTGATCTACCTCTTTGGACCAGGCTCCACCTTCCAGCAGCATATTTAGCTATGAATTCATTAATGGATTAATCCACGGATGAGCATAGTGCCTCCATGATGCAGTCACCTTCCAAATGCCCCACCTCTGAATTTGTGTTTTGGGGAACATTTTAGGTCAAAACCATACCAGACTATATGTATATCATCATTGATTTAACCAATCCCCTATTAATGGACATTTGTGATGGAATAAATGATAATAAACATCTTAGTACCCACTTATTTTGTGTTAATTTTATCTTAGGTTAAATTCTTAGATATGGAATTTCTTCATTTAAAAGGCTGCCTATTTAATGTTTTGACAGATATTTCTAAATAATAAACAGATTCTACCAATTTATACTTCTACCCACAGAAGATCTGCCTGTACTCTTGCCAACCCTATATGTTATTAATATTCAAAATAATTGCTAATCCATTGGGCAGAGAAGAGCTCATTTTGTTTTAATACGCCTTTCATTATTAGTGAGGTTCTGTGATTTGAAAGTATATGTCCAAAATTCATACGCTGAAACCTAACTCCCAAGATCATGACACTAGAAGGTGGGACCTCTAGAAGGTGGTTAAGTCGTAGGGCATCAGTCTTGTGAAAGGCATTACTGCCCTTATAATATAAGCCTAGAGAGCTACCTGTCTACTGTCCTGCCTTGTGCGCATAGTGTTCATCCTTTTTGCCTTCTGCCATGTGAGGGTGCAGCAAGAAGCCACCATCTTGGAAGCAGAGAGCAGCCCTCACCAGACACTGAATTTTCTGGACTTCCCAGCCTCTAAAGCTTTAAGGAATGTATCTCTATCATTTATAAATTACTCACTCTAAGATAGAAGAACAGACAAGAAGGACATGAGGTTAAATGTGAATATATGTATATATATATATATATTCATATTCATTGGCTATATTTCTTCTGTGAATTATCTGTTTTAGGGCATATTGTATTAGTTTCCTGAGGCTTCTATAACAAATTACTACAAACTTGATGGCTTATAACAACAGAAATTTATTTTTTTCAGTCTTTGGGACCAGAAGACCAAAATCAAGGTGCTGGCAGGGCCACTTTCCACAGGCTCAGGGAGATCAGTTTCTTGTCTTTTCTGAACTTCTGGTGTCTCTCAGCTTATGTCACCGGTGATGATTGGCTCTTTCATTCCTTCATCTGTGCCCATCCTCACATAGTCATCTCTGTCTCTTCCGCTTCTCAATCCAATCTCTCTTCTCATTCATCACATTATACCATATTACATTGCTTGACTCATAACACTACATCTAGCCAGTAGACTTTTCTGAGTCCATGGCTGGGAGTGGGCTGAGAATGGAGGGTACAGACATTAGAGGGACAGCTCTAGGAGTGGAAAGGGCTTGCTTGAGATCTGCTGGAAGGAAAGGTAAGCAGAGTCTCAAGCCTGGGTTGCTTTATTTCCCAGGGTGCTAACCCTAAAATCACCATAGAAGGAAATGTTAGACCAAAAAGTTTACACCATCTAGGTCCTAGTTTCAAGAATAATTTTTTTCTTTTCTGGAATTTTTATTTTTAATTTTTAAGTACACGTTTGCAGTACACAGTGATTACATTCATTGTAGGTACTTGGTACATGTGCATAATCAAGAATTCTTTGTATACATATAGATGATTATTTTATTGAATGGCAAGAGAAGACCAGTAGACAACCCAAAAACTTTTTTCCTCTGAGCTTTTCATAGCCATGGGAGAGAACCAAGAATATTCTAGGACAGTGATGGCAAACCAAACCTTTTAGAGCTTTCAATGATACGAACAGCCCTCTGTGGCATACATGCCATTGGTTCACCACCACTGGTCTAGGAGTTGGAATTCAGTGGGTGCTTGCCTCTAGGTTGAATCAGAAGCATTAGGAGAACTTGTTAGAAACGCAGAATCTCTGGCCCAACCCAGGCTCACTGGATCAGAATCTACATTATTAAAAGCGCAGGCAATATGAGAAGCTCTGTTATGGGACAGTACTTATTTTTAAAATAAATCTTATTTTATTCCATTTCCTCCCCAATCCCCCTCCCCTCCTATGTTTCCATTTTTTCTTTCTATTTTCACTTTTTTTCTTGTCCCTTCCTTTCTAGGAGAGTACTTCTTAAACTGCAGGTGGAACACTTTGAAATCTAATGTTAAAACAGAAGGGCCTTTCCTGAGAAATTAGGCATTTTCATAGACTTTCTTGATCTCTTCTCAGGCCTTGATTACTTTTTATTTGGAAGTGACTTTTGCCAATAAAGGGGTTATGGAAGGTTATAGAAATGGCCAGAGTGCCATTTCCAATTATTAAGGGAAGCTCTTTGCATAATATGTTAGTCAACTTTCTGTTACTATAAGAAAATAACTCAGATAATCAATTTATAAAGAGGAAAAGTTTATTTTGGCTAACAGTTCTGAAGGATTCAGTCCATGGCCAATTGGCCCCATTACTTTGGGCCTGTAGCAAAGCAGCACCTCATGGTGGCTGTCATGTGGAGGAGTGTGCTGTTTGCCTCATGGGGGAATATGAATAAGCAGAAGAGGAGGAGGGGCTCGGTTTCACTGTTCCCTTTGAGGGCATGCTCCCGATGACTGGAAATCTCACTAGCCCCACCTCCCCAGTAGAGCTAAGCTGGGACTAAACCTCTGTCCCATGAGTCTTTGAGACATTTAAGATCCAAACAATAGCCCATGGAAACTTCTACTTCGGCCTTAGTGGAGTGCTTGTCTCATACAAGGTTACAATGTGAAGTATCAGCAGAAATTAAGAAGCTTTTAAAAAGTATCAAATTTGTCTGTAATTTTTTTTAAAAAGGAGAAAAAGGATTTGGACAAGTACTCAAAAACCACATGCACCTAATGCTATCCTCCCAGTTCTCAAATCATTCTTATATAGGCTCCCCTCCAAGATTTACAGAGCCTGTGGCAAGGGTACAAAGAAGGACCCACATACCACTGTTAAATAAAAACTTTTAGTATATTTTATGTATTCATATATATCTTATTTATATATTTTCACATAGACTGTTGTCCTACTTTGATAAACATACTCTCATAAAAAGTTAAAATATATGGGGCCAGGGATTTAGCTCAGTGGTTTCGCTGCCTGCTGTGCAAGTGCAAAGACCCAAGTTTGATCCCTGGTACCAAAAAACCACCAAAACAAACAAACAAATGAGCAAATTAAAATATATTTAAAGCTATGATTTCTATATGATTGAAAAATTTAAAAAGTCAAGATGACTAAATTGAATTATTGCCCATGTCTAAGTATTGTTGATGGGTCAGTGATACTTGAATGAGCAGTGTATGTATCTGCAGTCCATAAGTCATTAGTTAGCCCTTAAAATATATTTTTGGCCTTCATGTCAGCAAAATCATTATGTCATTATTAAGTGACATTTTCTCATGATTTGAGCTCTGGTGAGAAAGTGATCTAAAGTAGCTGTGACCTAAGAAAAATGTAATCATGTTTAATGAGTTTTGAGTATGAGTGGATCATAAATTAGAAGAGAAAGAAAAGAATGTTGCTGCTTGGTACTACTGGGCAAGATACTACATTCTGTAAGAATCTACAGCATTCATGCCCCAAAAGAAGTATCTGACAAGTTGACTAATTTGTCTTTTCTCTTACCTAAGCGCTTCCGCTGCTCAAATCCTCCCTGTCCTCTGAAGCAGAGTGTGTCTCCGAGGTCAGCAGTAACACAGCCCACAATCCATCATAGCACTCGGATGTGATTGCCTTTTCTTTGGAGGACCTAGACCAAGAGGCGTTGACTATCTCTGTGGGGCTGAGCAGCCTTGGGGAGTAGACGTTCATGGCAACCATGCGCCCTGCTGTACTGAGCTATGGATCCTGAGTGACAGAGGCACCTGTTCATGTGCTTATGGGAGGGAGGCTGTGATATATGGAGCCTTCAAGTGCAGGGCGTGGGTCAGAAATCACGAGGAAACTTTCTGGGAGATGAAAGCGATCCATATCTTGATCCGCCACATGGTTACATCACTGTACATATTGGTCAGAATTCATCATGTTGTGTACTTAGGATTGGTACATTCCATTGAATGTAAATTATACCTCAATAAAGTATTGTTTATATAAAAATAAAGACTACCAGGTTACACTTTTCATTTTATGTATGTGAACAAAGGACCTCTAACTCTTCAACATATGTAGCTCCAGCTCTTTAACACAACTGTGTGATATAATCTCATATACACACATGCATATGCACAAATGCACCATGTGCTTTCTTTTTTTTTTTTTTAAACCTGACTGCAATGATTTTTCTGTCCTTGACATATCCTAAATCATTTTCTGTGGACTTTATAATTTATAATTATTGCTTCCATTTATTCATTCTTATAAATAATAGTACTGCCTAAGTTGTTGCATATAAAGTTTTTATTATAGTCTTATAATACATCTTTAGATATAGAACAAATGGATAAATGAGTCTGAATATTTAAATGACCATGTGTTGTAGTGGTGAAGATGTTGAACTGTAGAGTTAAGAACAGGCTGGGTTTCTCACCTTAGCCCACATTCGGCACTTAGCAGCTCATTAGAGCTTCAGCCCACGACGTGTCCACTGACATCTGCCCAAAGCCCTTTGCTAGATGCAGAAGATAAAATCACTTAAGGGGATAAAACAAAAAAGGACTAATTATACTCCTTTCCTGAAACTTATCAACTTCAAGACATGAAGCCTTGATAAAGAAATGGAAGATATAAAGAAGATGCACATGGACATTTAAGAAATGAAAAATACAATAACTAAAATAAAAATCTTAATAAATGTATACAATGACAAAATGAATGAACACAAGGAAAGAAATCAGTGAACTAGAAGACAGAGAAATAGAAATTAACACAATGGGAACAACAGAGAAAATAATTGGATCAAAAATATAAGCAAAAATCTAAGCAGCCCTTCAGGGATCTGTGAGAAGATTGTTACATATGACCATGTTCATGTGATTAGAGTTGCATGAGAAGAGAAAAAAGGCAAGCTAGAAAAGTATTTGAATAAGTAAGTCTCAAAATATACAAATTTGACAAGACACACGAACTTACATAGTCAGAAGCTAAACACAGTGCAAATGGAATAAACCCAAAGAAATCCATGCAAAAATATCATAATTGAATCTCTAAGAGCTAAAGGTCAGAAAGAAATATGTAAAGCAACCAGAGAAGAAAAATAACTTACCAATGGGGAAAGGCAATTAAAATAACAAATGTCTCTTCAGAAACTATGGAGCCTAGAAATAAATAGCACAGTACTGAAAGTAAAGGAACTATAAGCGGTGAAAATATCCTTCAAAAAATGAAAAATAAATCAAGATATTTTCAGACAAAGAAAAATTAAGAAAATTTCCTGCCACCAATTTTATCATAAGAGAATGGCCCAAATAGCTTCTATGTAGAGAGGAAAAAATATAAAATAAAAAGCTTTGACTGTTAAAGAAAACAAAAGAACACATTAAAAATGAATATATACCATAAAAAAAAAAAAGAACAGGCTGGGTTCAAGTTTAGGCTCTGCAGGTCCTTGGACAAACTACTTCAAGCCTAGGTCAATGTCACCCTCAGAGTTCTCTTCAGGGCTCAGTGATTATCATTATATATATATGTATTATATATATTATATATATATGCAGTGTTTCGTATAGAATCAAGCACGTGGGTGCTCAATAATCACTGGGTAAAATACTGTAAAACTGCTTTCTAAACAAACACAGCCTACCTCATTCCCTGAGGGTACACAGAAGTGCTGTTTTCCGAAATAACATCAGCCCTGAGTGTTAGAATCCCAATTATTATATGGATAAAATGAAATACAGATTGAGTATCACTTATCTGAAAGGCTTAGAACTAGAAGTGTTTCAAATTTTGTATTTTTTCAGCTTTAGGAATATTTCTATATAGCTAGTGAGGTATCTTGTGGATGGGACCCAAATCTAATCATAAAATTCATATATTTTCATATATACCTTATACACATAGCCTCAGGATAATTATAATTACATTTAATTAATTAATTGTTTGTTTGTTTGTTTGTTTGTTTTTGCAGTACTGGTGATTGATCCCAGGGCCTTTGTACTGAGCTATATCCCCAGTCCATTTTTTAAAAATGTTTTACTTTAAGACAAGGTCTTCCCAGGCTGGGACAAGTGTGTGATACTCCCACCTCAGCCTCTCAGGGTGCTGGGATTACAGTTGTGTGCCACCATGCCTTGCTTATATAACATTTTTAGTAATTTTATGCATGAAACAGTCATGCTAGTGTCAGATAGGTGTTCAAAATATTTTGGATTTTGGGAGTAAGAATGCCCATCCTGAATTCTATTGCTGTTTTTTTAATTACATTAGCTGACTCCTAGGAAGTTGGGTGTTATTTAGTGGTTTGTGTTGTTTTGTTTTGTTTTGTTTTGTGGTGTTTTTTTTGTTCTGTTTTGTTTTTTTGGTACCAGAGATTGAACTTGGGACCTTACGCTTGCAAGGCAGGTGGTGGAACCACTGAGCTAAATCCCCAGCCCTGTTTAGGTTTTTAAATCTTTCAAAATTTTCCTAAAAATATATTGGCCTGCTTTTTGAATGCCTTTTCTCCATTGTTGATTCATGGACAAGACTGCAGTACTGACATGTCACGGGGCAGGTTAAGCATAGGTTTTTTCTTTTTTTTTCCTTAAATTCTTTTATTGGTACATTTTAGGTATATAATACATTTACATTTATCATTGGGTGCTTGTACCTGAACATGATATATCTTGGTT